AGCTAGTTATTTGTCCTAAATAGGTGTTGTCTTTTCTAAAATATCCTTGCTAATCAAGTGTATTGACTGTAACTATCATTGTTAGAAAGGTTACTTTGAAAAAAATACATAAATATGAGAGACAAAATAGATTGGGGTCTTATATTTAGGACCAAAATAAAAATTAAATAGGGTCTTATATTAAGAACCGAATTTAGTATTTAAAATAATATTCAACCTCCTAAACTTGATATTATATTAAGAACTGAATAGAGTATTTTGATTTCAATGCTTGGCACATAGTAGAGTGCTCTTTGCTGCTAATAATTCTCCGTACCTGCTTTGCCAAGAGGGCTTTGTTAAGGAGATGAAAGATCTAAATTTAGTCCCTCCCTGCTTTTTAATAAACCTTATATGAATAATACTGCCTCTGGTCCTTGTAAGATCTAATTAGTTGGTTAAATTTAATACTAAAGATAAGACTTCAATCTATTCTGCCTTTCAAATTTTTTTTTCCCCCTAAAATACCCCGACTGATTGCAAGGAATTTTCACAAGACAGTGTCAAGGCATCTAATTAAAGAAAATAATTTAGAAAAATCAACACATATTTATTATAATTAACCAACTCAATTAACTTTTTTAATCTCCTCAAATTAATTATTTAGCTCTTAATCAAGGATTGGATGTAGTATGACTCATTTACCAAATCCTATCTATCAAATATATAAAGGTCTTACTTAGCTTATTTATTCCTCATAACCAGGATAAAAGGTACTTATCTGGTTTTTAATACAAGATCTCTTTAAATAATTTGATTAAATTTAAAATTTTGGATAAATTAATTAATTGCAAGAAATATGACATATTTTTTTTCTAAAATACCATAATCACTTTCCTCAATATCCTCCTTATCTCTCCTGCTTGATTATAATTGAGTGAGTATTGATATAAGTAATTCAAGAAAATTTGATAAATATGATAAATAAATCTTATATTTGAGATTAAGATCAACTTAATAATTAGGTCTTATATTAAAGATCGGGAAGAATAAATTCTATAACAGGCTGCAGGATTAACTATGAGCGGTACTTCATCATTTGCATTTGGTGCAATCACTTTTTGTTATATACCAGAGCCTTTGCCTCAGGTGTTCCTCAACAAATTAGAATCAACGATCGACTGATCGAGTGTTTTATCATGGCGGTGTCATTTTAATTAGAAATAGCTAGGTTAATTTGAGCCGCATCTCACACGACAACCAAAAAAGTGGAAGGAAACCTTCACAGATAATATGCACGCTACGCATGCATTACAATTAATTATGTTCACTGAAATTTGTTATTGTACGTACAATTCATCCCACTATGGTAGCCTTCCATTTCGAACGAGTAATTAACACACAGCAGAATAACGCATAGAAAGATTAGTCGCCTCTTGCACATGAATAACAACAATATGCCCACTAGCTGCTAGAATCTTATTTTACTCCCTCCTATCATTGCCGTAAAAATTAGTAAGAAGAATAATTAAAAATGATCAATATAATGCAAAAAATGTTTATAATTTTTTTTTAATTACCCGTAAAAACAAGTTGAGACCAGGGATGAGACAGACGGGGTGAGTGAAAAAAGATGTCTGGAGCAAATCATGAAATTTTTAAATAATGGCCCGGGGGGGGGGGGCTATTAGCATTGAACTGTCTTTATCACCGTGGGCAATAAATTTATATCTCAATAATTAAATAATCTTAAAAAAATTATTTGCCAGACATATTTTTTATTCTACCAACTCTTTTTAAAAGGACAACAAGCATGGTTTTTATTTTTTATTTTTCCCCACTGGCTCCTCTCTTTACGCCTTCCTCACTCCTCACGTAATCTCTGTGTGTGTTTCACACGCAAGGGGATTTTGTGCGTTTCTTGATTTCTTCCGTTTTCAAACCGATACCCCGGCGTTGTGCTCTTTTAATTTTGAGCTTTTTTTGTAGCCAGTCTTGTTCATTTTGTCATTCGAACATGCTGACCTTTTCACAAATTTAATGTCACATTGATTAGATTAAACTGTATTTCTTTAACTTTATACAGTAGGCTTTTTTATATAATATAATTAAACACATGGGATTTGAATCCTAAACCTCATTTAAATATGACGGGTAGCTTTGTTACCAAGGCCAGTAGCCGTTGACTATGAAGTAGATTTTCATTCATCTAATACTAATATAATTAGTCTTAAATAACAATACCTTATATCAATAATAATAATTTTAAAATTAAACTTAACATATTAACATTTAAAAATATTTTGTTGATATTTAAAATCTTAATGTTATTTTTTTAATTAATAAAACTAACAATATTAAGGTTAGGTTTAAATAACTAGAAATCATAAAGTTAGGAAGTTAAATTTTTGTGTCCTTAATATAAGAGCTAGTCTGACATTTAATTTGATTCTAAATATAAGATTCCAATCTATTTTATTTATCATATTTATCTCTTTTTTCACATATTAATTGTAGTTTCATCAAATGGTAGTTATAATTAATATACACGATTAAAAAAAGTATTTTAAAAAAGATAACACATATTTAACTAATTTAGTTAATTTTTTAATATATTCAAACTAGTCAATTAGCTCTTATAGTAAGAATCAGAGGTGGTATAAAATTGAATAGTCAACTAGCTTTTTTAATAAGAATCATAGTATAAAATTGAAAAACTAAAAATACATTTTTATCAATTTATTATGTCTTGTTTAAGTCTCCATCAACTTACCATAACACTGCTGTTCCTGTTTTGAGCTTGGACTTCAATTTTTTCCATACGCAACAAAGACCCCACGCTTGTATTACACACTTTTGGAAGAATAAATATATTTTTTACATCATATATAAAAATATTTTTATGTGCCGTTATATTGAAAAGTTTACAAAGTGAAAAGAAAACTCGGTTTCTTCTTTTTGCTCCCATGAGCCGTCCAGCGTATAGCATAGCATGAAGTTAAAAATTAACAAAATAAAACAACAAAAATAAAAATATTGAACAGCACTTTTACTATTAAATTATTTCATTTTATTTTTGTTTCTTCAAATTTTATTTTACGGCTATTTTTGCAGAACTTTTCAATTTAAAAATATTTTTAGCATATGCACAATTGAATATCTTTTATATAACAATTATAGAATATCACGTTGTGTTTTTTTTTTTCCTCCTGACCGATAGAGCATCATGTCTTGACTTGAGAAGTCATATTCTTACCTTAATTACTAAACCACCAAAGAGCAATCACATGCATATATGAAAAAGGTGATATTGACGACTTAACGCCCTTCAGCTATATAACCTAAGCACATGACGGCCCATTGTGTCTACAGTGATATTTTTAGATAAGAATCAAATCATAATTTTAAAAATAATTTTATAATATATAAAATAAATATATGAAAAGAATTTTATCTTAAAGTGTTTTTAGATGGATATGTGTATATTTTATCATTGCAAACAAATATTAAATTTATGACACGTTTATAAGAATGGATCACAAGATGAAAAAGTTCCAAAATTGTAATTTGTTTTCTTCTGCGACGTTTTGCCTTTCAAATGGGTTTGTCCAATATGTGAGGAACAATCACTGTTATTACCGAAAATATCAATCATTTTATCACCGAGGAAAAAAGAAAATATCAATCATTTTTAGTGTTGAAAAGTTAATAGTATTGCTTCAGTTTATACTCGGCTAAAACATATTTTTAATCTTTTAATTTTATATAAAATTTTAATTTGAATTTTTAATTTAAAAAATATATTTTTAGTTATTTTAACTCTAAAATTTGAAAATATGATGATATTAAAATATTGATTAGTAATAAAATATTATTAAATGTTAACATATTAACTTTAATTTTAGTTTGTTATTAAAAAAATTGACTTGAGATTGCAATTCTAGAGTTAAATTTCAAATTTGACTACCAAACTAAAAACTTATGCCCCTCTAATTCAAAATATAAGCTAAACTTAGTTAGAGAGGGCTTGGTTTTTTTAAAAAAAAAAACAAGATAACATTTATTTTTGTCTAAATATTTAATGTATTTTTTCTAATTTTACGATCATATATTATCTTTCCTCTTTAATTCATTTATTACATATTTTACCTATTCTTTTCATTAATAAGAATATATTTGAAAACCTTTCTCCAAAAAAAAAGAATATATTTGAAAACAAAATATGTCTTACATATTTATTATTTTAATATGATTTTAACTAACTATCTCGATAAAGTTTATCTTATAATTCGAATAGGAGGAAGTATAAAATTAAAGGATCAAATATAACTCCTCTAATCATATTTATAAACCGCTTTCAACATGTTTCATATACATCAAGAAAAACTTTAAATTTTATTAAATTTCATTTAAAATTAAACAACTTTTCAACTTTATCCTTATTTAATATATATTATATCTCATGTAAATAAATTCAACACAAAAATAAATGAAAGTAAAATTATACATCAATGTAAAAAATTTCCACTGCCTTATAAATAGGAGAAAAAAAGGCATGATCTCTTTGTCTCATAGACAGGACAAGAGGAGTATACCTCCGCATTTATATTTTGTTAGATAAATTACTTTCACTTAGCATTTAAATATATTTAACCATAAATAATAATAAATTAATCTTATTAATTATACGCGCTCAATTTTTTCCTGCCCTAAAATTAAAGATCAGCTCGTCATTCCCGCTAAATTTTTGGGTTTATTTTTCAGGGCCTTTCATTGGTTAAATTACTGCCGAGTGGCGCGTGCTTCCAGCACTCCTTTAGTTTAAATCCCACTCAACCTCTATCGCGCCGCCACGTCATCACCTAAAATTTAAATCCAATTTTTAATTTCTCATCGAAGAATTTAAACTCGGGCGAACAGCAAACCACTTTCTCCTCCGTTCTCCGCTTGCTGTGCCCCTCACAGTTCATTCATCTTCTCCCTTACTCACGCACAACACACACCTTCTCTCTCACTCTCACCTTCTCTCTCTTCTGCTGCAACTTAGCCTTAAAGAAGAAGAAACAATCTCTCCCTCTGTCTCCTTTGTGCCTTCCTTTGAGGAATGATATCATTATCATTAGAGCCTCAAAAAGAGGAAGATGGACGAAAAAAAGCGAAGGGAACCACATGTTCTTTGCTTTCGTTTCATTGCCATGTGAGAGCTCTTACACACTCTTTTCCCTAGTGCTTGTTTTGGTGGTTTCAATTGACTCACCAACTCAGTGAGTGAACTCAATGGCCTCGTCCTCAAGAGCAAGAAGCAGCTCGCCGTTTTCTCACCGGAAACCCTCCACTTATACTCATCCACTTCATCTTCTACGTTCATGAGCGGAAGGCTGATTCCTCGCTCGTGCTCTTCTACTGCGTCGTCGTTTTCCAACTCCGGTGGTGGACTCAGTGGCCGATCCATGACTCCAAGTCTTGGTCGTGGTGAGTTATTGCATTGCGGTCCTCCCAGTTATGGCAGTCGTTCCCCTGTAGAATTTGGGTCGGAAGAGTTGATTGCCGACCCCCTGGATGTACGGCGGACCCGGGATAGCATATCGGTGACTATTCGATTTAGGCCATTGAGGTAACGCTTAGATCCGGGGTTGTTAGATCAGATCTATCGGCTATGACATTGGGGGAAATTGAACTGTTTATTTTGTGCATTGTGTTGTCTGAGCTAAATTTGATTGAGTAGTCCGATTCGGTATATTTTATTGCAGTGAGAGGGAGTATCAGAAAGGCGATGAGATTGCATGGTATGCGGATGGTGAAAAGATTGTCAGAAATGAATATAATCCAGCCACTGCTTATGCATTTGGTATCATCTACGTTTTACTTTCCCTTTCCTTTTTCTTGATTCTCTATTTAGTGTTTTTATGATGAATTACTAGATTGCAGTTAGGTTTCTAGGGGCATATTGATCATAAGTTTGATTAAATATGGTTACCATTTTAGAATTTAGAAATTATAAATGCTTGCTTGTGGCAGACAGAGTTTTTGGACCCCATTCAACTTCAGACGAAGTGTATGACGTAGCGGCTAAACCCGTAGTGAAGGCTGCCATGGAAGGCATCAACGGTATGGACTGTTTAATTCAGCTCTAAATTACAATTAGACGTGTGAGGAAAGTATCTTTTGATACCTATTTATTGTAATAGTTTGATGGAAGCGATTTCATCCTCAAGAGATGTTTCTGGTTGAAAAACTAGATTGAACTGGTTAGAGTTAGAGTGGCTAGCGGAGCTAGTTGACTTCAAAAGATAACTTATTCTAAATATTGCAGGGACTGTGTTTGCTTACGGTGTGACGAGTAGTGGAAAGACACATACTATGCATGTAAGTGTTGTCTTAGCAGATGCACTTTTTACTTTTCCGCCTGAGACTTTTTTCGCTGGAAACTAAACTTTATTTTCTTGCCTTTTCATTCTATTGCTGCTCAAGGTTTGTCATTTTGATCACACAGAATTATGCTATTGGATAGTATCTTATTAATCAGTATAGGCTATTAGTCAATAAGTTGTATTTCCCGCCTCTGATTTCCATGCTAAACGCAAATCATACGCCACATGACGGCATATAATACAAGTATAAGCGTCAGTATTGGGTTCTGTCAGGAATTGTTGGTAATAAAAAAGTTCTCAGAAGCCTAGTTTTTTAGTAAATTGAAATCTTTTGACCTACCCTAAGAAATAGTTGCGTGACTTGTGTGGAGTGGAGCTGTTAATTACAAATGTGCCAATGCCCACTATGCAAAGTAAGATGCTATTATTATGGCTTGGTGCCTTGGTCTTCAAGAAAGTTATTGTTGCCATTCTCAATGGCATCCAGCTGCAATATGATAAGTCTGCGCATGACTTGTACTGCTCTTTTGAATGGAATTTTTGGAGATGCGATATCAGCCATTGGCGCAGAAATTATCTCATATTTTTTGCTCCAATTTTGAAGACCCAATACTTCAATTATAAATTGCTTGAAATTAGTTGATTTTTCTGCAGATAAGTGACCTTTCCAGTCGGGATGATTCTCATTTTCTTTTCAACTCTGATGTGTGCAGGGGGACCAAAATTGTCCTGGTATCATACCGCTGGCTATTAAAGATGTTTTCAGCATTATCCAAGACGTGAGAATTCTTGCGAAGTTATTGTTATGTGCTACTTATCTTACAAGTACATGTCCAGCATTGTGTCATTGTTATGATTATATTATGCTTTCTATTGTGGTTGTTCAACTATTAAGTCAGCTCATAAATTCGGATGAGTTTAAGATGAAGTCAGAAAAATATGCCAATTCCCTCCTATCGATGCTCATTTTGCAACTCGCTACCACTCGTTAGTAGCTCTGGTTTTGTTTTGCATGAGTGTCTCTGTTGATTCTTCACTTAATTGTTATTACATATTTAAGAAGAATATGTTTTCCTTCTTGTTAAGCTGTAGAGGCTCTTGATAGCTGTTACTTGACTCTTGGATATTGATTTTTAAATTTGATATGGTGCTGCTGCTTGTTACTGTTCATTTTTGCTTTCCCCAATCTCATGAGGCCTTTTAAATGTTTCCTAAAGCCGTAGTTTATATACTTTACTAGCTATTTATTAAATCCGTGTTGTAATTGCTCGCTGTCTATCACCATCATTGTGTTTTGGTGGCAGACTCCAGGAAGAGAGTTTTTACTTCGAGTGTCATATCTTGAAATCTACAACGAGGTAATTGTGTCACACACTTTCACCATCACCTTTGTGCTGCATAAATTTTTTTAACGAGTTTTTATACCTTTATGAAGGGACACTAGACTCGATCTTTATTACTTGCAACACTGTCGTATGATAACATGTTAGGTTCTGTGAATCTTTTAATCAAATTTCTTTTTGACATATGCTGCCATTTCTTATTGGTAATTGTTGTCAGGTGATTAATGACTTGCTTGATCCAACCGGCCAAAATTTGCGAGTGAGAGAAGATGCACAGGTTCTGTACCTATATTCTCTCAATTTAAATTTAAATCTTATTAATATTATTACTTTTTTCCTCCCCTAATTTCATCCATGATTGTCCTGTTCTCTATTTTTGCCTCTGAAATACCAATTCCATGCATGTATACAGAGCTGTTTATATTTGTTTACGGAATCTGTGTGGATGAACATTAAAATTGTTAAAAAAACTGACGTGATTGCTGATTCAGAACCTGTAGACCATTTATTTTGTCGTTTGATTCTCATTTTATTTTATAGTTTACACAATTTTTGCCTGCATGAATCTACGTTGGTTGACTATTCTTGTTGCCGTGTGTTTCAGGGAACTTATGTCGAGGGTATAAAAGAAGAAGTTGTTTTGTCCCCTGGACATGCGCTTTCCTTTATCGCAGCTGGAGAAGGTGTTTCTGTTGACGCCAATGTTATTTAATCCTCCTTCAGTGCCGCCACCAACACCCCCCCCCACTATGTACTATCAAAACTGATTGTTGGTATAAAAAGCAATTCCTGAGGTTTTTTTTTTTTTGCCCCAATGCAGAGCATCGTCATGTTGGATCAAACAATTTTAATCTTCTGAGTAGCCGAAGTCACACGATTTTTACACTGGTAAACATTCTTGGTTAAAATCTCGCTTTAACACCTCCTTTCCGCATTTTCTTCCTTTTCCCTCAAGAAATAATGTGCATCATGCAAAGCCCATCCAAAAGTTTTTCGATTTTTGGATAACTATGCATTTATATGCAAGTGCAACTTGCTATGCTTACTAGGAACTGATTCTTCATCACAAACATTTAATAGTTGCTTAATTATTGTATTTTCGCTCTCTCTGGACATTATGAGACCTACACTTACTTAAAACAGTATATCTGCAGATGATTGAAAGCAGTACTCATGGTGAAGATTATGATGGAGTGATCTTCTCTCAGCTTGTATGTTGAAAATGTTTGCCAATTCGACAATATAATACGCGCACACAATGCTTTTTAGTGATTGATCTCGTTTCTTTGCTTGTGTTTCTCTATCAGAACTTGATTGATCTGGCTGGATCTGAGAGTTCAAAAGCTGAAACAACAGGACTCAGAAGAAAAGAAGGATCTTATATCAACAAAAGTCTTTTGACACTTGGAACTGTAGGTGTACAGTTTCATCATCTTTGGTTACAGAGGATTTTTTTTTTTTAAAATAATTATGACGTTCTCACATTATCAATCAGATAGTATGCAATTTCTATCTTGGTGAAGCTGAACCTTTTATGAATGATAAAATAGATGTATTTGTGAGTTGTTACTAATAATATGGTGATGCGGGCAACCAAAAATGGTTGTATAGTTATATCTAATTCTGTTGATTATTCATGCAAAATTTACCTATCTTACTTCATCAATTGTCAAAGAGCACTCCCTCTTTGCGGTCGAAAAACATTAACTGCTTACTTATTTATATCTTAACCCATTTCATAATATTTATATATTAATTAATGATCGCTAATCATTGTTGTCGTCGTTCTCATCATTGTTGCGTATGCCTTGATCTTGTAACTTCAATTTGAAGGTTATTGGAAAACTGAGTGAGGGGAAGGCATCTCATGTTCCATATCGAGATTCAAAGCTTACCCGCCTCCTCCAGTCTTCGCTTAGTGGGCATGGCCATGTTTCGGTGAGCTTGAATTCGTCTTGGCACTATTTCATAGGTTCAAGTGATTGATTTACTGTTTACTGCTGTCCTTTATTTTGTGTGCAAGTGTTGGGCTGTTAAATATGTTCTTTTTTCTTTTTCTATTTTTTTAATTCTTTTGCTTTTTCCCTATGGACATTTCAGAACGCTATTTATTATACTGCTTAAATGAGTACTATATTAATGTTTGACGTGACACGACAACAGCTTATCTGCACAGTCACTCCAGCATCCAGTAATATGGAGGAAACTCACAATACGTTGAAGTTTGCTAGTAGGGCAAAACGAGTTGAAATATATGCTTCGCGCAATAAGGTTAGCTGTGAAAAGATGGGTCAAATGTAGAATTCCATGCCCT